ATGTGAATTTCAGAGAGCAAAAAGTACTACAAAGACAAGGAAATGATGTTGACAGAGAACTGGACTGTTTCAGATAGCGCTCTGGGGAGAGGTTTTAGCAAAGCAGGATACAGCTCTCTACAGTTTGCAAAGGCTCTTTCACATCTCATCCTCATTTCAGAGGAGGGACTAAGAAGGGGCAGACAGGGGTTTGACATCAGGTTTATTTGGCCAAATCTGGTGACTTATGCCTAATGGTAGTAGCTTCCACCTGCCTTAATGCCCAGCTGGGTGGGTACGAGCCCCCTTTATTCTGCTCTCTTGGCCTCTGTAACCCGAACGGGTTACAGTGAGAAATGAAAATGTGGGGTCCCTTGTTCAAAATTAATAAGAATTTCAAGATGATGACAACAGGGCATTAAACCAAGTCGGGGGCCCTTCTAAGCTTGGGGGCCTAAGTCTCTAACTACACAGGATGCACACCCTTGAAAGCTGGTGTGTACAATAGAACTCAGAACTAGTGTGCAAGCCCCTGCTCCTGCTGGCCGTCCCCAGGCCTCCCTCCTCTTTTCCAGCGCAAAGCCCAGCACAGGTGATGGAAACAGCACACAGAGGCTAAAAATACAGCCGAGCAGGTCTAGGTCAGGGCACGTAGTGGCTCAAGGTCTTTGCTCAGTTATGTGGCCCTGGGCCCTGGCAAGGAGCAGCCTGGGCTATTCATTTCAGTGCTTCACATGCCCCTGTCATTGAGCAGCTTTATTTCATGGAAAGAGTGAGGGCATTGACTATAGCCCCTGAGGCCTCCAGGAAGATGTTGGTGTCTGTCTGTCTGCCTGCTCTCGCTCTGCAGTCAGGTCCTTAAGGGCAGCAGGATGTGCCAAGCAGCTGGGAGATCTCAGCTGGTGGAGTCTGGGTGATTCTGGTATCTTTGACCATTGCCTTTTTTTTTTAAATGGAGCTACTGGGGATTAAACCCAGGACCTTGTGTATGCTATTCATGCACTCTACCACTGAGCTATACCCTTCCCCTGATCCTGGTGTCTTTGAAACTCCAGTTGGGATGAATTCTGCTCAAAGGGCAGTTGTGTTGTGGAGAGAGCCCTGGATGAGGAGTCTGCAACCTTTTATTGAGGATTTTACTAAACTCTGAGCAGGGTGCAGTGTTTGCCATCACATCTCATGTCTGATGGTAGCCCTTGGAGGGAGGCACCGTTACCACCCACCTCATCCAGAGAGGTTAAACGGCTGGCCCAAGGTGGTGGAGCTGGGTTGGAATCCAGTCAGCGGGACTCCAGGACTCTACTCCTAATCACCATGGTGAATTGCCTTCTAGGGTTCTAGCAACAAGTGCTTACTGACTGGTCCAAGGCTGAGATTACGGTGAGGCAAGAGAGGCGTTTGCCTCAGGCACAAGACTCAAGGGGGCCACCCAAATTCAGAAATCAAGAGAAATGTATATTTAATCCATTTTAAAATATATTATATTTAATGGAGAGTGTTTTAATACAATATCTTTTAAACATCTAAATTCATGATGAACAGAATATCGAAGTTTTTAAAAAAAAGATCTAGATGCTTGGTTTTCCTTTAGCCTCAGGCTTGACTCGGCACAGTTCTGCTACTGCTCCTGTCTCCCAGGTTTCTGGGTCAGGCAACTGGTGATGGAAGAATCAAGGGGAGTAATGCTTTGCCTGTTCTGAGAGGGGTTGGTGGGGGACACAACAGGCTAGAGGTGTCTGTGTGCATCCAGGTGACCACGTCGGAGACCGCAGAGCCAGGTGGGCCAGGGCAGCAGGAGGGGCAAGGCACCGTTATTTCACATACTTGGCCCAGATAGGTGTGTATCCAGCACATGTGGTCTAAATCACTGGTCCTCTAACTTTGCATCATGGTTCAGGAATCTTTTCAAATTTTCTCATCCAAAGTTTTTCTCTTCTTTCTGAAAACTTCTACATCATGAACCTCAGATATGTTCCCATATGGGTGTGGAAGTTTACTCGCTTGGGTGTGAAAATAAAAACATCTTCTGAGGAAATTAAAAACAATTAAATTCCACTAGAATTTGGGGGTGGGGCATGAAGGAGGAAGGGGAGGATTCATTAAAATTGGCTCAATTTCCTCTTTATTAACTGAGCATCCAGAAAGAGAATAGGAGCTCAGGGAAATTAAAGAGAAGAAAGGTGGTAGTAAAGGAAAAGGAGAAGGAAGAAAGATTACAAGGGCTGAGAATACAGTGATGAGAGCTTGGATCAGTATTAGAGAAGGGCTGATGTGTTTCCAAATAGAAGCAGTGGTTTAGATACCTCAGGGAGAACGGCTACAAACGGTGGGTGGAAAATAAAGGTTATTTAGACAGATCTCAGCAAAATAAAAAAGGTTCATTGAAGAATCAAACTGAGGAAAAGGCTTTTCTGCAACACAGAAGCCCTACGGCCTCAACCCTAAGTTCTCCAAATCAAGTGTTGGCACCAACAATGGAAATTCCTGCCATGGCTTCAGGACCCTGGACCAGATAGAGTCTTTCCATCCTGACTTTATAATTCTCAGCAACCTTCAATGGAACAACCTCTGTTAAAGACTAGTTACTTTCCTTAGTGTGTCCTCAGGTACCTACTTCCGCTTCCATCTAACAAAGCATGGGATATTCGGGACAACTGCTGCAACCAGGAGGAAATGTAGGTTCTGCAGATACATCATGTCCTCAAGGTGGACGAATCTGACAAATGTTTAGCGAAAATGGAACATGGGAAAAGAAATGTCAGATACCCAAGTCAGGTCAGAATCGTTCCCAGATTCAAGAGGCTCATTGCTTTCAACAAGGATTGACTGTATAGCACAGGGAACTATATTCAATATCTTGTAAGGACCTATCATGGAAAAGAATCTGAAAAGTTATGTATGTATAACTGACTCACTTTGCTGCACACCTGAAGTTAACACAGTATTGTAAATCAACTATACTTCAGTTAAAAAAAAAAGACTCTCATTGCTTGACCAGATGGACACATATGAAGGACCTGGGATGAAGTTCATATCAAAGGTTGGGTTATGTCACTCACATGAACAACAGGAATTCCAGAAAAGTTCAGGTGAACAAATGGGCCACAATATTAATAGCAGTAATAAGAAGTTTGTTTCTTGAGCACTTACTCTGTGCCAGGAGCCACACCAAGTGCTTCCCATGCATTGTCCCATTTCCTCCTCACAGTGATTCTTGGGTAGGGACTACTATTATCCCCATTTCACAGATGAGGAAAGTAATGTCCAGAGATGTAAATTCACTTGCTCATTGAGAGATGGATCTGGGATGTCAGCTCGGGCAGACCAACTCCTGAGTCCAGAGAAAGTCTCATGCCAAGGACAGGACTAGATGTGGTCTGTGTCTACATGTGGTATGTGGCTGGGGCAACTAGACGTGAGGCAAGGCACCACAATGAGGGCTCTGAGTGGATGAGGGCAGGGTGGTATAGACCATGGTTGGGTTGAGTCCAGCCTTTGGCAGGTTCCTAGCTTTGGGACCTGGGGCCACAGTCCTTAAGTGGCTCAGTTTCTTTGTCTTTAAAGCAGGGATGGCAACAGTCCCAAACTCATAAGACTGTTGGTGGCATTTCATGTGATGGTGTTTGTAAAGTGTCTAGAACCATGTTTGGATTTCAGTAAGCATTCAATAAATACAGATTTTACTGGAAAAGGAGAAATAGCACAGGCCAAATTACTCTGAGTTAGTTTTAAGGGACGTGAGGGTTACCTACTGGGCCACCGTCAATTGGAGGGAGTGATGTGGAAGGGAGAGAAGGTGGAATTTGATGGAATTGGAAGACTGTGCATCAGCTGCCATCATGAGAACAGCTCTGTGCTAGAAGGAGGGTCTGAGAGCTCCTCAGAGCCTGAGCAGTGTCACTTGGTCATTGAATAGAAGGCCTGGAAAGAAAATCCATTTGAGTGTCTGGAAAGAGGTGGTGCAGGAAAGCCAACCTCAGGATGCGGAAGGATAGAAGGGAAACAGAAGAGCAGCTCCTAGCCCACCTTTCTTGCCCAAAATCTCCCTTCTGTCTCTGTAGCCCAAGAGCCTGGTGGCACTTCTTTGGGATTCACCAGTTTGGGAAGGATGCTTGGCTGCCCAGTCTCCAGACACTTGCAAACCCTTCCCAAAGACAAACCCTTTCCAGCACCCTGCTGTAAAACTGACCCACCTCTTGGGAGGTGAGGCTAGGCCTTGCTGCTGAATGGGTCCCATTGTCCTCCCAAGCGTCTGTGGGTCCAGATGCCGTGGGCCTGGAGGTGGTTCCACCACAGCCTGCGGTGCGGTCTGCTTGCAGACTTTGATTCAGTCCAGGGACCAAAAAAATCAAACAGGCAACACATGTGATTCCAGGAACTCCTGCCAGACTCATACTCTGTTTTTCCATCATTTCGCTCCCCCCCCCGGGGAGGGAGCCTCCTTTGGCATCCTGCACATGAAAAATCAAAACCACCAACAGGACAAGCACCTGATAAGGAGCTAGGCATTGCCCAAGTGTTCCCAGGAAGAGGTGTCTTTGTTCTGGTTTCAAGCCCTTGACACCGCTAACAGCTCTAATTACTGCATTTGCCATGGGATGTAAAATAAAACCGCATTCCAGAAACCATGTAGTCTCTCGGGGAGAGACACTGCAGGAACGTGTTCTTTCATTTCTGGTCCCTGACTTTGGCAGCTATTCTGAGAACTTAACAGTACCTTCTTTATGTACACGGAGAAGGGCACTTTCGCACATGTAAGGGTGCATCTCGCTACCTGTATCCACAAATCTGGTCTGCATATTTGACTCTGCTGCGTGCAAAGCATGCTTCTTAAGAATGTCAGGACCTTCAAAATTCACCCAAGCCATTTTGGGGGAAATGAGGACTTTAGAATTTCCTGAGGCTGGAAGCACAAGAAAATAGAATTTCTTCCAACATAATTTAACTATAAAAATCTGATGATGTAACACCTACCCACACCCACATCACAAACCAAAGTGACATCACAAATACTAGAGATAATGGTTCAAAACTGCCTGCATGTGAGCCAAAGTCTAAACAAACAGCAATTTGCCCATACATGACTGAGGCAGAAAAAGACAGGTGATAGAAATACTAAAACAAAACAAAATTTAAAAAGACAATAAAAAACAAAAGAGAAAAAAAGGGAAAAGAAAATACATATTTCTTCCCCCTACTAAGCTAGCTAAAATAAAATTTAAGGCAACTGAAATATGGTAAGGTGATTTCATTTTTTTATAGATGACATTTCTTAGAAAGCTAGGTCTCTTTAAGTGTGTGATTCTAATCTAGCCAAATTATTCTCTTGTTCTTGGCTGGTCATGGGAAATGGAGACCAGCAACACTTACATTGTGTTTTTGCCTTTAGAGACCCTAGAGTGTATTTTCTTGCTTAGCAGCTTTTCTTGGCTCATGGCAGTCTGGTGCGAAAGTGATTTGGGGGCTTGGCAGGATTTTTACCTTTTGTCATTCCTGGGTCGAGGAATTGCAACAGAGACGAGGAGGGGCTACAGCTCCTATAGGACTCTTGACTGAGCCTGTCCCCCATTCCTTTTCTTAGCTTTCCAGGAGAAAGAAATTGTCTTTAATTCCTTATATATGCTCCCTGACCCTCCCTCTGCTTCCAGCCCAAGCAAGCTATGTTCTTTGAGAGCCTGAATATCACTGTGACCCTGTGAAGTTACCACTGCTTCTTTCTTCCTTGGTACAAAAGGCCTTGGTGAATAGGAGAAAGGATGTGTAGGAAGAATTCTAAGAGCTGGGTGGAAGGAATGATCTATAAAAAGATGTTAATACTTTTCCTCCAATGTAGACCTTCTAGTCTCTGCTTGAGAATTGGTCTTTTTAAATTCCTTTTTGTTCCCATATAATTCTAGCATCCAATCCACGTGAGACGAGATCCCAGCATCCCCACCTATGGACTCCGGCCGTCTATCTTGCTGAACACCAGGCTTCAGGACTGCTATGTGGACTCGCCAGCCCTCACCAACATCTGGACAACTAGAACATCTGCAAAGCAGAACACTGATGCCCCTGCACCGGGTACCACCTCTTCTTGGGAAGTTGTAAAGAATCCATTAGTTGCCAGCTCATTCTCCCTGGTTAAACTGGTGCTCAGGCGACAACTGAAGGAGGAATGCTGCCCAGTACCACGCAAGTTTGGAGACGCAAAACCCTCGAAGAGATTAAAGCCCAAGGATAGTTCAGTAATGAAAGCCGCCCAGCGGGGCAGGATAATAGAGTCCATCAGTTCCAAGAGCAAGTGGCCACTGGGGCAGGGGGTGGGCTCACCGAGGTGCAGGAGGCCTGCAGGAGGCGTTAACAAGGTAAGATGATGGCTGGTGGTGGAGAAAATGTGATGGGGTGGGGAGAGGGACAGGCAAGCTAGAGACACTTAATGCTTACGAGATTCAGAAGAGAAGGACGTCCCAAAGGGTGAGGATGGGGGTGGGGGGCTAGAGTGGAGACAGTTCCTGTTTATACTCTGCATAGTTTGGAAAGGAGGCAAGTGGCTTTCATAAGCAGAGACAAAAGAAACTCAACGTGAAGGGAAAGTAAGAATGGGAGAGAGGTTCCGGCACACACGCTTGAACCCCAGATCTGGCTACAGACTTCCACGTGGAGAACTTGGCATCCAAAGGCCTGATCTGAGTCTACTCCATCACTCCATGGGGCCAGCAGAGCTCAGAGTGCACCCTGGAGCTAGGCGGTCAGGGTTCAGATCCCAGCTCTGACTGTAATTGGGGACAACTGTGGACTTAGTCTCTTTCTACCTTGTTTTCTGTTTATAAAATGGGGAGTAGCCCTTCTTTCCTCGGGTTTCCCCGAGGATGAAATGAGTGTATACACACAAAGGGCTTTCGAACAGAGCCTGGCACAGAGTAAATGCTTTGAGTCCTGCGTGGCCCTCTGTGGGTGACAGCTGTGGTTCACCTTCTAGCTACGTGGCCTTGGGCAAACCACTCCAATTCCCTTGCCTTTAAAGTCGTCTCCTGCTGACCTTACTGGGTTCCGGAGAAAGGCTCTCAGCGGTATCTACCCCTGGAGGAATTCAGTAAACTAGAACACGCTACGCAAATGTTGGTTGTGGCTGTAACCAAGACTCTGGGACACAAATCCCAGATAATTATTCTGAGCTCCCTTCTCAAGTTTTAGCTTTGACTTCTCTGCTTTCTTCCTGGCTAGAGTAAAGAAAGTTCAAAGGAGAAAAAAGGAACCGTCTGCCAAGATCTTGAGAGCAGATATGCTGAACATGTGGCTGCCACCCAGGCGCTACCCCGGGACATTGGGACCGTGTCCTGGAAGGGCCGAGCCTTGCTTCCTGAAACCAGGAAGAGACAGCAGCTGTCGGAGGACATGTTAACCATCCATGGCCTCCCCACAGAGGGTTACCGGGCTCTGTATCACGCGGTGGTGGAGCCGATGCTGTGGAACCCCTCTGGGACCCCCAAGAGGTACAGCCTGGAGCTGGGCAAGGCCATCAAACAAAAGCTCTGGGAGGCTCTGTGCAGCCAGGCTGCCACCCCCGAAGGGGTTCAGAAGGACTCACTGCTGGGCAGGAAGCAGCTGGTCCACGAGGAACCAGTGCCCAAGAAATGGCCCAAGTTAAAGAGCTAGAAATAGGGACAGGAGCTCATGGGATTAGGCTGTTCCCTGCTAGATGTCTGAGAAATAAATACCGCTTTGCACCTTCCACATAATCTCAGAGTGCTTTACAAATTAGTGACTATCCTCCCCAGGAAAACAAGACAAATGGGTCCAAGATTCATTTCAGACTGAGGGCCCCTCCCCACTTTCATGGTTAGGTCGTTTCCAGGGCTGGATGCTTAAGCTTTTTCCCTACAAGCCCCACTTCCTATGGAGGGGCTCGAGGGCCTCAGTCTTACAGATGAAGTCAATGGTTTACATCCAGCCTTTGGTCCCTATTTTTAAAAAGTGGACTGCTGGGCTCGACCACCATTTCCTTTATAGGGCTGAGCAGAAAAACCACCACCACCACAGGGACATCATCTCAAACGCGCTCTCAGATGCCAGCCCGTGACACCACCTGAATCCCTGGTAACCTGAACTCTGCATTAACGAGAGGAAATTACACACACGCTCCCATGAGCGAGACCCTCTCCTTCGTAGACCTTTACCAGATAGAGCGATGACAACATGTAACACGTACTTGATAGAATTGTATTTTTTTTACAGTCATTTGTACAATTTGTTACAAAACCATAGAAGACTACAACTTGTTTTAAATCATTTTTGGTCGGCAAATATGTAAAATCTGTGTGCAATTATCATGTATTTACAGGGCCTCATGTTAGTCATTTTCAATGATTATTCCAACAATGTCACACTCTCAACATAAGACATGGCTTAAGATAAATATATTAGTAAATAAATATTCTGAGAACATATTTCCATAAATGAAATGTGCTGCTATACATATACAGAATATACATAAGTTGTTTTCTAGCCTTTAAAACATTTTTTAAATGGTAATGTTGGAGAAGGAGCCCTTAGACCATTTTATTACAAAATCTTTACAGCAAAGTTTTTACAAAATATCTTTTAAGTGCTATGGGAGAAACTTTAAAAAAAAACATTTAAAAATAGTGCCTTATTAGAGACCCACACAATAGAGTTTATATAAAGAATAGAAAAGGCAGTTCTGTTTAAAAGATAATACTCTTGATTAGTAATTATTTTTTAGACCTCATTTTAAAAGCATTAGTCCTGCAGGAACTTGGCGTATGAACTAGCAGCACATCAGGGAGGTGTGAGCAGTGGGACAGCAGATGGAGCTTTCTAAAACGGCGGGGTTCAGAGGAGAGGTGGAGAGACAGAGAGTTAAGGCCAGCAGACTGGGGCTGTGTCTACTACAAAGTGGTACCTGGCGGACCAGAACTCCCAAACCCTCACTGTTAACAGGTTCTGGCACTCTGCAATTTACCTGGCTGTCCTACACGCAAGGCGGGGCCACAGGACCACGCCCAACAGTCACATTCCGGTGAGAGGTGGGGTGTCGGGATGGGGGGTGGCTCTCAATGGCAAATGTGATGTTCCCACTTTCTACGCAGCTGAGAGGCCACTGAAAAAGGTACTTGTCATCATGATTGGAGTCTTAAGACTTCAAAGAAGACATTTCTTTTGACTTGAATGGTGAGGCAATAAATAATGTACTTGGTTGCCCAATTCTGGTGACCTCCCTGTCTGGTGAGCCAACACACATTTAAGACAATGGCTGAGATTTACAGTTTAAAAATGTTATTTTTCTGTTTCTACCACCCTGTAAACTACAAAAATTAAGTGTGTTTCTTTTGCCGTCTCTTGTTATTGCTCTTTCAGGCGAAAATGGGATACGTTTATTTGAATAAGCCGAGTTGAAGTCACATTCTCTCCTCACCTATTTCTTGCTTAAGGCTGTCGAGGAGTGGTTTTCCAGCCAGGGCTAAAGAAAGCCACTTTGGGGGTATGGTTTCAGACAAGCAAGATACTATGCACTTACAGGCATTCAAAACAAGAACGAAAACAAAACCCACAAACAAACGAACAAAATCTCAATAACGAGAACTGCTTTTGCTGGACATGTTAGACGCCATACCCAAAACCACCACATGCAAGCTGTTGTCCTTGGCAGCTGTGCCTCCTGGCCCCAGAAATCAAGGCGGCCCAGATCACATGTCATGGGTTCAGGCACTTCTCACACCCTCGTCAACAGGTGTGCTGGGCATAGGCGGGGAGGGAGGAAGTGGGTAGCCCCCAAGGGACCGCACCTCGGAGGCTGCAGGACAAATCTCACCATGGTGAGCTCCTAAACAGCAAATGGCTCAATCATTTGACGCTGTAATTTCTTCCCCTGTCAAATCCTGGCTGGAAGTAAGTGAGTTTCCTCAACACAGGCTGAGGTTTTTAAGGGGAAAAAAAGGGATTCTGATACAGTAAGATTCTCATTCAAAACGTTCTGGTGTGAAACCTGGGCTGACCTCCCCTGAGCCTTACTGGAGAGGTGCCATCACAGTCGCCCGGCCACCCTGGTATGGCCTCCACTTCCCCAGCCACAGGGGCCAGGTCTCAAGGGCCCTAGTCAGCAAACGAGCATTTCTGATGACAACCAATACCTGCTGAATACATGAATAAACACAAGTGACCAGAAGAGTTAGCAAACACAAGGGCTAACGTGATTAGTTTCTTTTGAAAAATATTTTAAGAACAAGAAATACATTGGACATAAAGAATGACAATCCCTGATCTGAAATAGATTCTCCCTTTTAAAATGGAAACATCTTTTAAAAAATGGTTTGGGTTTTTAAACTCTCCCTCCCTCTTAAAAAAACAACAAAAACAACAAAAGTCTGGAACATACAAAAACCTACCCTTTGGGTCTAAACTATCTGATAGTCTCTTTCTCTCTGTCTCATGGAGAATCGATACATCATAGTGCATTAGGTAGAAAGGCTAGTAGACTTCTGCAGGCGAGATGAGCAACTTCAGCCATGAGGCAGAGGGCTAAACAACCCTGAAGCGGTGCTTCTGTAGGGAAACGCGAAGGGACAGATCGGAGCTCAGACCCGGTAGGGTCCTGGCCACGTGCTCCCAGAAAAGCAGCCGGAGCAGCGGAGGGGTGTGGCTGCGGGCAGAGACGCATGCGCACAGGCCCGCTCCAGGGCAACCGCACCCGGGGGCGCCCCCCTCCCCCACGCATCGTTCCCCTTGCTCCCACGACCCCAAGGCGGCAAAACTACATACATTCCTCCCGGGTGTTTGTCCCCACACACCCCGTGGAACCATCTCTGCAGCCAGTGGCAGGAAGCCCAAGATCAGGACTGTGAACTCCGTCCTTTTACTTAGGACGAGGACCTGAGGGGACACACTGAGGTCACTGGGCACAACTGTCTCTGTCACCCCGGGGGCTTACGTAGCAATGGCTTGTCCCGGCTCCCCAGTGCTGCAGACCTATTCCTGGATATTTCCATCAGCTGCCCAGAGGTTTGGGCTGGAGAGGCATGGCTTCTGAGAAGACCTGAAATTTCGTACGGTGGGATTTGCCATGAGAAAGAAAGAGGCAGCATTGCATTGTTCCTCAGAGTTTGTACCCATATCAACTAGCTTTACTTCAAGTTTCTGGTTCATTTTCTAAGGCAGGTGTAGCCCTGAGCTTTTCAAAGGCCTGAGCTCCCTCCAGGGAGACAACAGTATCTACACATGATGTGGTTCAATTAATGCAGCAGTGATTTTTTTTTTTCAGCAAAAGTTGGCGGTTAGGGTTCTTTAAAATATATATTTAAATAACTTTGTACATTTACATATAATATCTTAAAAAAACAAAGCAGAGAACTCAATCCCACACACCTTGGAACCCCAAGCACACACACTTTACAAAACAGAAGAATAACATGTTATCAAGGGTCCTAGTTATCAAAAGAGGCAGAAGACTCAGAATTTTGTCTGTTGGTTTGTTAATGGGGGGCTGCCACAGGTGGCTCACATTTTGGGTTGAGAAGGAGGGCTCTTTTTATTACCACTTTTGTGTTTGTCAAAGCTAAAAAAATCTTTTTTTTTTTTCTGTAGGAAGTCAGAGTTTGGAGTCTCCGTACAGTTCCCATTTCCACATAAGAGTTCCTTCCTCGCTCAGGCTCCAGGGCCGCCACTGTCCGCTGGGCGAGAGCTCTGTCCTAGGAAAGAGAGCACAACTGTCAGGGCGGGGCTGGTGGGCGCTGCCTGCAGGGACCAGGCAGGGGACTTGGGGGCCCATCCCACCTGTGGCAGGCTCTCAGGAAGGGACAGCTCACAATACTGGACAAACCATGTAGATGGGAAGGGCTGAAGCAGCCCCCTTTCTAAGGGCCGGCCTCCCTTAACAGGCCCAACGGAGCCTTCCGGAAGCCCTTAGGCAGCGTGGAAACACAATATACAAAAGATGTGTGTGTGGGGGCTGCTGCAGGCACTGGGAAGAGCAGGGAGCAGGCCCCCATCACCGTGCTTTCCAACCTCAGAACAGAGAGGCCTGGAGGCTGGGATGAGCCTGGCACTGGAGGCACAGGCAGCTGAGGTAGTGAACGAGGAGGCGAGGGAAGCAGGAGGTGGTCGAGGGTTTGGCAGGGCCTGGTTAGAGGGAACTGGGTGAGGGGTCTATGTTCCTACAATTCCAAAGGTGATGGCAAGTCAGTGAAGGGTTTTCTTGTGTAAAGACCTAGACTTGTATTTTAAAACAGACGACCCTGGCACCCACGTGGAACAGAAGGCAGGACCGGCAACAGGAGACCAGTCAGGCTACTGCCTTCGCTGCGGACTGCAGGTGGGGAGGCGGGGTAGACCGACGTGGGGCACACTTTGTCAGGGGAACCTGTCCCAGTGCCACTTAAAGGTGCTGGGCTGCACACTATTACTGAGACAAAATGTTTAGAAATTTCATAGCAATTTGATGATGTCTGCTGAATCTAATAATAAAAAACTTGGACTTGGATTTTGCATGTCTTTTGCTAAGTTTCATTTTTCTGGGGATTCAGTTTTCTGCATGAGGGGAAAACCAGCACATGTGGTTCTCAAAGACAGGTTGGGAAGCCCGGGACCCTGGAGCATGAGGAGCAGGGCAGGGTCGGGGCTGGTGCCTGGGTTTTTGGCCTGAGCATCTTGGTGGGGAGCCCTGGAGGAGACGGTGCAGAGGGAGGACTTCAAGACACGGCTGTGGCAGGATCAGTGGGATGCTTCTGTCGCATCTGGGGGACAGATCATGGAAGCAGAGGCCCAGCGGAAGGGCGGGGTTGGGGAAGAACACTTGGAAACCATCAGATACAGATGGCGTTTAAAGCCAAGGACACAAAGAAAGTCACTTAGAAAGTGAAGTAAAGAGAAGACCCAGACTCTGGCCTACTGTCACCTCCCGCTCTCACCTGTAGCCTCAGTGGCTGTGGCGTTGGACTCCTGAGTGTCCTGGGAGGCCCTGGGGGGGCTGGCCCTGGGGGGCCCCACCTCCTCCGGAGGGCAGCCAGGGGGCAGTGGTGCCCTGGCCGGGCAGCACAGAACCCGCTCTTCTTCCTGGGCTGCTCCCAA